CCCCGCTGAGGTGCCGCGGTGTCGCTCCTGGAGGGTGCGGGTTAATCCCGGAGTGCCGGGTACGCTCTCTGCGCGAGTGTCGCGCTAAGCCCTCGCTCGCGGAGAAAGCAGAAGGGCAACTCTTGGCGCTGAAAACACTTCTGCCAGCTGTTCGGGGGGAGGTACCCTCACTTTACTGCATCCGCACGCTGTGGCCTCGGTGACACTGAGCTGAGGGGCTTAGTGTCACCGAGGACATTAAGAAGCTGGAGCGTGTCCAGAGAAGGGCAATGAAGCTGGTGAAGGGTCTGGAGCACAAGTCCTGTGAGCAGCAGCTGAGGGAGCTGGGGGTGTTTAGCCCCGAGAAAAGGAGGCTCAGGGAGGCCTTACTGCTCTCTACAGCCACCCGAAAGGAGGGTGTGGGCAGATAGGGTCTGTCTCTTCTCCCAGGCAACCAGTGGCAAGACAGGAGGACACAGCCTCAAGCTGTGCCTGGGGAGGTTCAGACAGAATGATGAATTTCTTCACAGAAATGGTGATTAGACTTTGAAATGGACTGCCAAGGGACATGGTGGATAATTGTGATGGGAACTTACCCATTATGTCCCCGAAGTGCGGGCAGCTTACTTTTCACAAAGGTGTGTCCCCCGTGATGTGAACACACAGCTGCAGCATTTTCTCAGTTTGCAGATGGATGTGTGCTGTGACCATAGTTTTTTGGCCCATATAATTACAGGCATTTTGGTTGCCCAAAAATCTGTGTTAGCTACATGGCTGCAGAAGGAGTTATGTTGAGGTGACATGTGAAAGTGGTTCCCTAAGAGCAATTCTGTGGTATGGTTAAAGTAAACACAGAGGAAGTCACTGAATATTGTTGATGCCAAATATTTGTCATGAGGACACTAGGATCAAAAGCCAGGAGGAAGGAGGCTGTCCCTGAAATCATGTTTGTTTCTTTGCCGTGGCAGGGTATGGCAACAGAGGTAGGGGACAGCAGAAGGCTGATCATGGCGGTGGCTTCTGTTAGGTTAGGGGTGGCATATCATAACTTGGGGTCCTCAAGATGAATCTGATCGTTTAAGGACATTCTTCCACTGAGAGTCAGATGGAAGAATGCAAGAACCTCTTTCAGGAACTGACTCCATGTGCCTTTTCAGTCCCATTGGTATTTCCTTGTTTTCCCTATTTGGGAGGCTGCTTGGAATAAAGATTAACTCACTCCAGTCAGTGTGTTGTTTATGTATTGTATTTGTCCATCAATGCCACCATACTCCAGATTTTGTGTGAGCTATCAACAAGGTTCAGGAATAATATTTTTTGTTGTTTTGACTGCACTTTTGCCTCTGGGTTCCTTCCCAGCTCTGTTACTTCCAGGATGACTTGGGGATGTGTTGTCTTCCTCTAAAATATCAAATTAGCATTAGCAAGAGATGAAAAGCTGGACAGAGGTGTTCATGGTGGCCCTGCTCCTGACACATGCATCTTGCTCAAATGCTTAGAACTAGTGATGAGATGTGACCTGAGAAGAAATGTTTCTCTAACATGGCCTGTTGCATTTGAAGTAAAAAAAAAAGGGTAAGGGGAAGCATTCACCCCACTCAGCAAGATGGAATGTGGTTAATTTTGTAAGAGAAACTTGGGTATTATGGGGACAAGAACTTTTGGACAGAGGCCTCACCCTAGAGCAGTATAAACCTTAAATCTGTTGGCAGGGGAGTGGGGTAGAAGAGGTTAATATATGTAGTGAAAGACAAATGTATATTCCTGAACTTCACAGCTATGGCATAAACTTACAGGGGCAGAAAGGAATGTGAAGAGTTCATCTCATCTATCCCATGATTTTACTACCACAAAGCAGGATCCAATCTCCCCATCTCTTTCCTGGTAAATACCCAAATTATGCAAGTATCTTTAGGGATGAAACTTGATAACCTCCCCACGCTTTTCTTTGAGAGCTCTGCTTTCCTTAGCTTAGGACAGTCTAGTTCTCTTTTTTATGACCCTGAAAGACTGCAGTCCCTGACTTTTCCTCACTTAGGTCCACACATCTGCTTAAGAAAGGTCTGGAGAAAAAGGCCAGTAGTTATGTCAATGTTTCCTCACAGTTTTATTTTTTTTTTCTTCCTAAACAAGCATGGTGAATTAACAGAATTAATGGCAGGTGAAATTTGCAGCCCTGGGAAAGTAGCACACGCTGCAGGGGAAGATGGATGGATGGTGATGAAATGATGACATCAGCTCTAAAGCAAAAGGTAGGGACAGCTGGGTGCAGCTCCACTGAAAAAAGGGGAAAAAAACCCTCAAAAATCGACCTGCAAATTTAAGCATGCTTGAGGAGAGGGATACTGAATGATGACCAATAAAATGCTATTATAAATTATACTCACCAGGTATTACAGTGTGCAGCAGTACCTCAGCTTCAGAGTTTTGAAGGGTGTACAAAGATCACTGCTAGAGCTGGGTAAACACAGACATGGAGAAACTAGGAGGCAAGTGAGTAGCTGAAGCTCAGATGAGGCAGAACTCATCTGGAAATCCTTTCCCAGTCTCGACACTGCTTCTTCCTGGCCAGTCTTTAGAAATCATTCCTGCTCCAGACCGGTGATACATAATGCTGTAGTTTTTCCTGTTAAGAACAGATTCTGCAGAAGGGTCTATAACACGGTGTAGGATTCAGCTGAATTCAGGCTACAAGATGGGGTCACTGCAGTCCTCTGCTTTAAAACATCACCAATAAAAATCTTATTTTAAATGTTCTGGTCAGGACTAGAGAAGCTTTTCAATTTTTAAATGTGTTTTGTGTGGAAAATCCCTCTGTTAAATAATTAGCAAGTGCTCTGAGCATTACTGCATATTTTATATTTCATCTGCCTGGAAGAAATGGACAGTTCTGTTGCTATAGATTAACTGCAATTTATTTTGTAATACTCTGGCTGCTGGAAGAGAGAGACTTCTTATTTCTTCTTATTTCTTCTTATTTCTTCTTATTTCTTTTGCATCCAATTACTCAAGGAATGGAGCTGGACAGAAGAGGCGTTTAAACATACCTTTTTTTCTTTTCCCAGTCCCAGTGGACATTTGAGTTTACAAAAAAAAAAACAAAAACTGCACAAGCAGTAAATGTGAAAACCAGAAACTGAGTGGTTCAGCAGTACAAAGAATCCCAGTGCTGGATCTTATTTTCTTGGCAGGCATTGGCTAGGATGGCTTGTTTATTTTGCCTTTTACATAGCCTTATTCCACATTTTAGTGTAAATTTTCCTCAGGCAGAAAAAAAAAAATCATTGCTGTTGCATGAATTAGTCTGAGGTATCAATGGACACTAATTGTGTTTAAAAGGAAGAATTCAGCATAAAAAGCTGTTCAGATTTAACCTTTTCCTCTCAGAAGTGGTGTTACAAACTATTATCTTAATGGAATGAAGGATAAGATCACCTTTCAAGTAATTTTGATTATCAGATCTGTGTTCTGAGACTCTTTGAATGGGATGTCAGAAATGTGGCCCTGGCTCTGCTGTGGGCATTTCTGTACATCTCACTGCTGTTGCAGCCTTGCTGTGACAGAGTGGCAACTGTCACATCTCTTTTCCTAGGAAGTTGTTTTGTCCCATCTTCAAGACAAACTTTGAATTCTGAGATAATTTTATATCCCTAGCACTGCAATGGGCATCACCATTCCTGAAGGAAAAAGTGCTTCAATTTTCATGTGGGTTCGACCCAACAGCCCTCCTGGCAATCTGTGGGAGCCTTTAGTCTGCCAGAAGATGCAGATGTGGGTTCCTCAGCCTGAAGGAATTGGTGTGGATTACAGAACACAGATGAATGTTGATTAAACCAATGTGCCTACAACACACAGAAGCTCTCTAAGAGTATAAGCTAACTTCCTAGTCTCCTACCCTGATGTAGCACCAATAGCTCAAGTCTCTAAGCACACCTCTGCTTAGTTTGACAGGCACTGCACGGGTGGCTGCT